GATCAGACCCCGTGTAGGAACCCCCTAAGGAAAGCCCCTTTCTGCTGCTCTGATAATTATTTTGGCAAAATGATAACATAAGGAGGTTAAGAGCCAATCTAATGATGGTGTCAAGTATGAGAATGCCTCGTGATATCACCTTACCTAAGGTACAAAGAACAGGAAAGCCAGGTTTCAAAGAGAAATTGGAATTAAAGGGCCAGCGTTACCTGTATCTAAAAGCCTTTGTGAAAGCATCCTTGTCTCCTTCATTGCTTAAAACATCTCTTTTCTTCACTAAGTCTGTATTTCCTTGACCAAAAACTTAATTTTATGAATTATATCTTACAAAATGGTACACTTTTCCGTCCATTTCGTTACTGGTTTATCACTGCAGCATACGCTGTTTTCATTAGGAGTTAAATTGGCTTTTAATAAGCTAGTCTGGAACCCTCATTCCCACTTTGTGTTGGGGTGGGAGGAGGCAAAAGCGGAACTTACGGATAAACTTTAGAATCACTCTGCAGTCACAGTGGTGAGTTTCTGAAGGGCTGGGTCACAAAAAATATGACCTCCACTGAAATGTGGAGTGGAATAGAAATGCTTTCCTCTTGCCACACACTTGCCAAAATTTATCTTTGTCTTGACTCCAGACAAGAATTCAGGCTTACCATCTCAAACCACTGCCTAATCTATAGAACAGTGGTTAAGAATTCAGACTCCTTGGGGCGCCTGGGTGGCTCAGTCGTTAAGCGTCTGCCTTCGGCTCAGGTCATGATCTCGGGGCCCTGGGATCGAGCCCCGCATCGGGCTCCCTGCTCAGGGGGGAGTCTGCCTCTCCCCCTGCCTCTCACTTATTCTCTCTCTCTCTCAAATAAATAAATAAAATCTTAAAAAAAAAAAAAAAAAAAAACAGACTCCAGAAGCCAGGAGGCCTCAGTTAGAATCCAAGCTCTACCGGTTTTCAGCAGGTTCTAGTGTGACCTGAGCATGTCACAGAGCTTCACTAAACCTCGCTTCTCCTCCCTGTGTAAGATGGGGGCCATAATATTAACTACTTGGTAGCATTGTTGGGAAAATTAATGGACACTTCTTCCCAAGTACATAGCATGGTCATCAGCATCATCAGCATCAAAGAGGTCAACTAGAAGGAAGGGCCCCCAGGAAAACAGTTGCTTGACAAGTTACTGAGTGTTAGCTATGTGCCAGGCCCTCGTCTAAGCACTGGGGTCCCATCAGTGATGAGACACAATCCTGCCATCACAGAACATACTGCGTTTGGAATATTTTGTTAGCAGGTCATTAAAATCGGTTCTAATGAGTGCTGATTAAAATTGCATAACGTTTTATTTTAAAAATTTAAAGAGTGTTTTCTCCAGGCATTCTCAACACCAGATAAATTCAGTGAATGATTAAGATGAAGTAGTCACTGGTTCTCTCCCCCATATAGGTCCTCCCTCTTAAATGTAGAAAGGCCCCAGGGGGATAAGTTTAAGGTTGTTATTTATCTTTGGGACTATAAATTTAAGGATGGATAAAGTGATCAGACCCCGTGTAGGAACCCCCTAAGGAAAGCCCCTTTCTGCTGCTCTGATAATTATTTTGGCAAAATGATAACATAAGGAGGTTAAGAGCCCTCACGAATATTAAGGCTATGCCAAAACCCTTTCGAGTGTTATTTTGCCAGATTCTTGGAAAGCCCCACTTATCATTCATCAAAAATACATGTGGATCAATTGACAAATTGTGTGTGTGTGCGCGTGTGTGTGCATGTGTACCTAAGATTAGGTTTTCCCTTGGCTGCAAGTTTATTACATTCCTATCATCCCAGATTTCTGAGAACAATAACATGACAAGAGGTCTGTCTTCTGTGGTCCTTCAGCTCACTTGGCTGGAGTAGCAAGTGACTGAAATCATAGCCCAGGAGGGAACCATTTCTGGCCTGCAGCCAGTGGGCTTTCATCCTGGCCCAGCCAGGGTCCCTACAAATGCAAAAGAAGAGTCTGCTTCAAAGGGCAGCCCCGCAACCAGGAGAAGAGCATGTCTTGTAAGTTCTGCTAACTGGCTTGGTTGTTTCACCTTTTCCCAAATCCTGATTTGCTCTGAAGGCATCAGCCGCCTCTGCCATCTATTTCCATGCTCCTATTCTTCTGGGACCTGTGACCCCTAGTTCTGTCACAATATCCCCTGCCTAGAGAACCACCTCCTTCTGTCACTAAGCCACTGTTGGAAGTGACTTATAAACATGAACTGCCCTGAGTCTGCCAGGGGTCTTCTCCATCACCGACCCCACATCTTCACTGGCGGTGGTGTGGCAGAGAGGGAGGAGTGTGGGCTTTGCGGTCAGGTTTAACACGGACCCTTCTCCTTACTGGTTAGGGGGTCTTGGGCAAATTATAATCTCCCTGATCCTTAATTTCTTCATCTGCAAAAATAGAGTGGATAACACCTCTCAAGGTTGTTTTGAAGATGAAATGGAGTAATGAAGATAGAGCACCTGGTGGTTAAGAACATGTACTCTAAGCAAATTTATTTATTTATTTATTTTTAAAGATTTTATTTATTTGAGGGAGAGAGAGAGAGAGAATGAGAGATAGCACGAGAGGAAAGAGGGTCAGAGGGAGAAGCAGACTCCCTGCTGAGCAGGGAGCCCGATGTGGGACTCGATCCTAGGACTCCAGGATCATGACCTGAGCCAAAGGCAGTCGCTTAACCAACTGAGCCACCCAGGCGCCCTCTAAGCAAATTTATTAATCACTGTGATCAGTTTTATAGTTCTATGAGTATAACTATATATAGTTGTGTTAGTATCATGGTACTGATACCTAACTCAGGTTAGGTAATACTAATACCCAACTAATCCTAATACCTAATACCGAACTCAGGATTGTTACAAGGATTAAGTTATAATACAGATACACATTCAGCGCCGGTTGTGAG